TCAATTCTTTTTTATATATATATATATATATGTATATTTATCACACTGTAGGGACAGATGGACATTCCTATTACAAATGTTTTATAACCCACAGGATACTTCAGCAGATTTATCTTTTTATATGAGAAAAAGCACCTTTCATTTCTTTATATCCAGGGCAGATCAGTACAGATCAACAACTCATACTCTTAACTATAAAAAAAAAAACTTATGCTATTAATTATGAAGGCATGATGAGCCTTAATTCAATTGCCGAAACAAGAACACATAAAACTTCTTTGTCAACACCATCCATCACAGGGAAATCTCTCTTCTAGCTAGTGAAACAGACTCTATCTCCACAGTATTACTACTTTTTCATCTGTAAGGAAGGCTTGTAGCTATGCAAGGTACCAGAAAATTCCTGTGTGCTTGCACCTTCAACCATATCAGTATGTTACACATAAATGCATTCCTCTAGTCAGGCATAAATATCATGCCACCTAAGCTCTCAGAGCAGCTACAAAGTCTGAATAAATCATGCACATCTTTGGGTTCCTTTGCCTATGAATTGTCGGAAAACTAAGGTGAAAATAGCAAGACCAAAAACACCCAAACAGAACACAACATAACATAAACCTCTCCTGCTTCCTCCCATCAACCTGCAAAACCAATAGAGTGAAATGCCTGCCAACAGAAGAGGTATTAACATTTCCATTTGAGAAGACTAATTAAATGGAAGGGGTTTTTTTAACAGCAATTCTGTATTCATTTAGAGTATAGGTACTGAAAAAAGGACTTGTTAAAAATGCACAAAGTTACATCTCTAGGATCTCTTTATTAGAAAAGTCATAGCATGGTAAAAGAACATTTTTAAAGCATTCTCTAAATCAAGTAAAGTGCCAACTCAGCATATCTACCAATTGAAAATACACTAAAAATAGGATTGGAAACTTATTAAACACATAGCCTGGCCATGGAAAAGTGCTAGAAAACATATAACCCTCCCCCCTCCACACCCCAGTGAAACACAAACCAGATATCAAGCAACCAAATGAAATAAGTACTTTTAAAGTGTGATTACTACCCCTGGTTCCAAGACTGTGCAAAGATTAACGCTTAACCTGCTGCACTAAGTGGAAAAAAAACCCCAACCTGTACCAAGAAAGAAACTGCAAGGATCAGGAGGGATCAGATACGATCAGGCTGCAGTAACCAGTAACCAAAAGTATCATTACAAAGCACTGCAGCAGGGATAGAAACAGAGAGGTAGCCCAGGGCAAGTGCACGTAAGTATGCAGGCAGCACTCCCTCTATAATAAACCAAGTAGTGGTGTCCCTGTTTGCTGCCATTAAGATGTATCCATCCTGGCAACACGACAGAAAGGCTTTTAAAAGGAAATCATTATAATATGATCAATTTTATTATGCCTTTTTACAAGAACACTTCTGGTTTCAACTGAAATATTTTCAGATTCTTCCCTTCTCCCAGATGAAAACAAATCCTACTCACCACCAAAAGGAGCCAGCTGTCTTTTACCAGGTGTATGTGTAATTCCTTGTTCTTGTACACCTTGAAACATGTTAATTTCTCCATCTCAAAATGTAATGTTTTAGCACCCCTTCAACATCATCATCAGGACTCAGTTTTAATTTCTAGATATTACAACCTACAATTTCCTGTCACCTTACACATTTGGCCTAAAGAATTGTTAATAATTAAAATGTACCACTGCACATGGATTAATCTTTAATCTATTTGAAACAAAAAAATTATTCCTGTTTAGTAACAGAAACTGTCTACTAATTTTGGATGCTCATCTCAACACTTAGTACTCGGTTACTTTCAACCGAACCTGCACAATACTGAACTTCTCTGGAGAAAAATTAAAGCTATGAGCTTCTAAGTTTAGCTACATGCTCAACAAATTAACAGATCTTTCTGAAAACAGCAGTCCAAATAATCTACTATACAGTAACATGTAGAGACACTGTCAAAATTACCTTGGCTGAATACTGACATAAACAGAACTTTCCTAACTAGTTCTTGGTTAAAACAACAGCAGCAATCTTTTATCAAAGTCTCCAGTTTAACTAAACATTTGCAGCAATGGAAATTCCGTGACAACTGTTAGTTATGCTAACAGTTAAAAGTTTGCATTTAGAACCTGAGTTTGTCTGACTTCTCATTCTACCTACTACATGTTAGAGTGTGCCTGTCAGACCTTCCTCTACAATTGAAGTAACTTCTGTCATCGAGTTTCAGTTATCCAGATATACATTTATACCCTGAGATCAAGTCACCTATTCACCTTTCCATTAATAAACCAAAGACAGAGTGCCTGGAATGTCTCATGATAAGACAGGTTTTCTCATGATTTAAGCACTCACATGGATCCTCTCTCAACCTAATTCAATTTTTCTACCCTCTCTATTCAAGACATAAAAACTGAACATTGCTTTCAGCAACAGCTTTCTCAGTGTCATGGACATAAGTCAATTGGACAGCATAATCACCCGAAGGTAACTGCCAGTGCAGGAAGTTCTTGAAATTTTCAGAGGCCTCAAGATACAGTGGGAAGAATACTCTGTGTTTGCCCATATTTATACCACATATCTAGTGTTAATATCAGAAAGGACAAAATACAAAATAAATTCCATGGCCCTTTGGTCAAAACCAAACACAGTCTTTCCTTACACCAAGCAGAGGTAATAGAACTTCCTGTTTGTTCTACTTGTTAACTTGGTAACTACTTGTGACCTCTCCCATATGTCGCATGTTCACATCAGGCTTTTAGCCACAGCACCATCCTGGGTTCGAAAGACTCTCCAGTAATGTGCCCAAAGCAATAATCCACATTTGTGGACAGGTTTTTAGACAAGACCTCCAACTCTAGCACCAAGGAGTAAAAGAGGAAGAGAATTGGATTAATTTGTGGATAAATACTACTTTCCCAATTTCCTGTAGTGCACAACCTAGAGGAGGCACAACTGCATTACTCTTTAGCATCCCATACAAAAGTGTAACAGGTTATCTATTCAGGCATCAAAGGACAAAGACTAGGCTCCTGAATTTAAAAAAAACCAAAACCACAACAAAACCCAAACAAACAGAACAAACCCCACCAAAAATCACGGTTTCTGCAATCCTGGTATAGCGCTCACAAATGAAAGCTTTCAAACTCATTGCAACCTTAATAATTTTTGCCTTTTGTTAATCACATTTAGTTTAGGAATCCCCACTCTCCACAGAGATTCCACGCTGATCTCTCAAGGACCTTTGCTCTTTTAGAATACTTACCCATACAAATAAAGTGTTTGGGTTTTTTTTAAATAGCATCACTGCAGCTCAACACAAAGTGAAGCACTGCATCTCAGATTCTCTTTCCACTTACCATTCATTAGTACTGAATGGCAGATTACACACACTCTAGCTTCCTTTCGATCCATGTACAGCAACTTGCACTTCAGGCTACAGCATGCCGCGCAAAAAACCTGGAACCAAAGGGGAAACAACTTCAAAATATGTGATGAACTGATGAATTTGGACAAGAGAGTATCTGTAAAGCTCTAGACACGCAAAATAAGGAATTACATTATCAGGTTTTTCCCATTAAAGCCACAGTGACTAATACCTGCCCAGGGTACCTTTCCTACTAATACTGATGAAGCAGTATTACATAGAACATATAAATGCATGTTGTCCTGATACTGCACTGTGGTGTTTTTAAAGTACGTTTGGCATAACATACAATGACATTAGGTTAATAAATTCCTATCATTTTACAATCCCTTATAGAATTAACAATTTGGGAATTAATTTCAGTCTTCAAAAAAGCATGAGTACTTTCTAGAATCAACTATGTTTCGATGCACAAGTTTTCTCTGCATAAGAGATTGCTATGGCACAGATTAATTCAAACAGGTCATTTTTATTTGCAGCAGGGCAATTCATCTGTATGAGCAACTCTAGCTATTTAATCTCTTCATATATAACAAAGTATTCCTCAGTTGAGACTTAAGTGAACAGCGACGCATCAAAATGTTTTAAGCGTTCAACATATAAAACAAGATATTTAAAAAAGCTGAATGACATTGGTACTCCAAGAAAATCTTGTTCCATTTATATATTTAAAAAATCCCCTCATATTTACATGATTACAAACACAACAGCATCACAACACTATAGAGATATAAGGAACTGCAGTTTGCACACTGGCTGCTAAGGGGGGACTCGGTGCAAAATCCCAGGGAGGACAATCTGCTGTGGAGATGCAGTTGCATTGCTGGTGCTTCTCACCTGAAGCAGCTCTAACAATTCCCCAGTCCTGGGCAGGAATCAGTCTTGAGGCTTCCTCCAGACAAGAAAAATCATAAAACAAGAGCATGGCTTGTGCGCCAAAACAAACACTTGCATGCAGATATGATCCTACAATAGCAACTGCAATCTCAAAATCCTGCAGAACAGACAAATCAGGGTGCCCTAAGGATTTCTTATTTGTTTTACATAGTAATTTTTTAAAAAAATGTATTTCCTCAGAGTTATTGTTCAGGTGACATGAAGATACTGATGAATACCTATTTCACGCAGAAAGGTAGTGTCACACTTAGGAAATCTTAAAAACAGCAGCAGCTACCTAACAAATGAGTTCAGATATGAAGAGAGAATTTCAGATTTTAATTATAGGTGGATATTGTATCTACAATTCACTATGCATTATTATGATCTGTAATGCTTTCTTAATTAAAAAAATTATTCCATCATCACTTCAACAGCAGTATTTCTGTAATATAGACAAGAAGGATTCTCATAGAGAAATATACGTAAGCCTAACTAAATTTCAACCCAGTTAAAGATCACACCAAATTATGACCACTTTGCAGCCTGTTACCTTTGCAGGCTTTTAGTGGCAAGTGTTTAAAATAAGCACATATAAAATAAGCTCTGAGTTCACCACGAGAGCTGGAAATCAAGTGTGAAGAAAGAAGAGCTCACCCTGTCTCATTTCATCCAGTTCTAATGTTTCCTAATTCTGTCAGCATAAACATTTCAGAAACAAAATATAAGTGTGTGGACACACTGGCATTTTCATGCAAAAATAAAACCAAACTTTTTGCATATGTGAAAACCTTTAAAAGAAAAAAAGGAAAAAAGAAAATGTACTTTAAAAAACTGATTTCTCCATTTACACCTTAACCCAATTTACAAGCATTCTAGGGAATATTAATAACAACATCACAGCATATTTCAGAGATATTTTACATCATTTCAGTTCTCTGGGAGAAACTTCCAGTTGAAAGTTCAGTATGGAAAAATCAATGTCTTCAACCATAAACAAAGGACCAACACAAATTAATAACTAATTTAGAACCCTTTATCAAACAACACATTGTGCATTCAGCAAAGGTCCCAAGTGCAACAATCTAAATATTAAAAGAGAAAATAGAAGCAGTGACAGAACATCTACTCTTAGGCTGCATCAGCCTTCTAACAGTAGTAATGCAGAGGAAGAACACAATCCAGCACAATTGCCAATTCAGTTTTGTTATTAACAATCACCAAGTCATCATCTCAGTATTTCATGCTATAAAAAAAGAATATAGCAGTGCCAAACCAAGTTTCTCTCTTCCTAGGGTTTTCAGGTTGACTGGGAGTTGTTAAAGCATTAGTTGCTAGGGAGGGGTTGGTGATTTTTTTTTATATTTTAGTGGAAAAATATAGTTTTGGTTGTCAGTAAAAAGATGACATACAAATTTTCCATTTTTCCTGTCATGGATGATGGTTTCTTTTGACAATAAAAAATACAGAAATACATAAGGTAAAATTTATGAATGTGTTCACACATATTCTTCAGGTTCTTCATTTTAATTCAAAATTTACTGTAAGTGTATTACTTTCCACCATTCCCCCGAGGTTCATATCTTCCATTAATTTTGCAATTATTATCCTGAAATTAAAAACAGAGACAGACTTCCCAGGTGCCACTCAACTATTTTTAAATGCAATTTTCATTCCCAAATGAAACAGATACATTCACCTCTACTAGAATAATTTGTCACTATGCTAATAAAGTTTAAAAAGAAACTGTTTTACTAAAGCTTGTGTTTAAAAATATTTAGTCCCATGACTTGCCCTAGAACCAATTAATTGCAAAAGCTGAAGACACTATCTCCCCAATTCTTTAACTTGCTTTGGGGATGGTTATTTTAACCAGAAAGCAAGAGCAGACAGCCAAGAATAGCTATGTCTCAAGCCACTACGGCTAGATTCATTAGAGCTTGCCTGTCAAAGCCTTTGGTCTCTCTTCTCCTGGAATCATTACAGGAATTAAGTGTTGTAAAGCAATTTGCAGTAACTGCTAAGTATTGTTTGACCTACACTGATTCTTAGCATTTATTAATGAGTGACTTTTTTTAGAGGAGAAAAAAAAAACCCACAAGAGGGCATGAAAAAAACATTTTCTGCCACAGCTTTTGACTGCATGTGTGCAAATTTGGCCCAGACAACATTAGCTAACAAGAGCTTCTAGAAACAAGTCATTCTGAGGATTATTGTAAGAACACTCTGAGAATATTAAATACTAATATATGATGTATTTTTCGCATCTGAGAAACAAGTCTGTCTACATAGCAGGGGACCTTTTATTTTATCCATTCCTCACATATCATTCAAAACAATGCTGGCTGTTCTTCTCAAGGCTTGCCTCCAATAGCTTAAAAACAAAAAGAACAAAAACCCCAACCACACTACATTTTTTGGCCTTGCTCTATTTGTGTATGTTTTATCCATTTCGTTTACATTTATTTTCATTTTCTGCTTCTCATTTGTGCAATTCAGGGCTTCAGTCATTACAGAGAAGTAATTAAATCCAAGCAATGAAGTTGTTTAAAACACAAAAATAAGTAGACAACATTACTGCAAATGAAAATTGTAGTCATATTTCTTAACCTCATAAAACCCAAAAGAATTAACTAAATAACTGACAGTATAAGTTAATATATCAAAGCTAAAATGATGGATATTCCTTTAACTTTTATGCCTTACAGATTCTCCTTAAATGCAACGAGAAAAAGATTGAGCCCTTTGGTATTAACCAAAAGGTATACAAAAGGTAGGCATGTACCTCATATGATGCTTATTGATCTCCTGTGGTTACTAGCTCCACATCAGGACTTCCACTGCAACCAACCTGCAAGAGGATGGGCAGAAGCAAGCAACTGGAAGTCCTGGACCCGTGCACAATGAATGTCTGCTTAGCTTTTAAAAGTGTCCTGGGAAAGATTTTTCAGCATGTCTCAAAATAAAACTTGAATAAAATCTACTTATCTGGTGTTGCAGTGAAGAGATTGAGTGCTGTGCAGTTCGGTTACTAAAGGGACAAATGGACGCATTATGTAGTCCATTACAAAGGAGCAAGCCTGGGTTTTCTGCTAGCCTGCTTCCAGAAACAGATGGCATAAGGGTTTGAACTTTCCAGATATATTTGCTTCTTTTAGGGCCTTTGTTCCAGTCATTCTGCTTCCCTGCATGTAGCAAAATATACCATCCATAGCAGTCAGGAGATCTTTGAATCAACTTCAGAAACCTTTGGATAGGGCCCAAATGAACCAAAGTTACTTTACTCTAGTTTTTAGTGGGGCTTGGTGTTTCTTTTCATCTTAAAAATATTCATGAATACCTACTTGACAAGAGTGCTAGTTTACTGCTTTTGATGATCATATTTTTTCATAAGTTCCTACTTCCCATGTGCCACTGACTTGTATTTCAGTAACAAGATATTTGGAAATACTTCACCAGCTAATCATTTACCATAAACTTGCCACATAAGAGTTTGTGTTGACCTAGATAGCACATATATAAAACTTTAAAAAAAAAAAAAAGTCAACAATGAAAGATTTCTTACACAACACAAAATGATACAGAAATTATGTTTTAGTTGTCTTCATTACAAAATTTCTCACCCTGTGTACATCTATCAGGTTACAGATAACTTACTGTATTTTTTTTCCAGGAGCAAACGTGTATTCTTTAAAATAATGTAAGCAATATGAGAAAAGTTAGTAAAGAAGACTTAAAAGAACAGAGTTGATCAGCCATTTAAACCAGCAG